AAAACAGGTTTTATTTATCGTGTTTAAAAACTGTTTGCATGTTCTTTTGGGCAAAATACTCAGATGAAGTGTTTTAAAAACCAGATGATATAACGGGCCTAATTTTATGAAACATGGAAGCAAATTCTACTTCGTTTGTTCTAAACACTTGTATATTAATACAAAACAAAGTTAAGCAATCATGAATTAAACTCAGAACTTGCGAAATAAGAGTTATTCGGTTTAATCGCATGCAAATTTACTCGAAACAAACTTGATGTGCACTCAAAGTAAAACGGACTGTTGCACGCGAAAAAAAAAGCCTGACTGAAACGAATACATGTAAAAATAACCAGTTGCAAAGTTGAATTTGTGCATTGCACAATAATTTTTTTAATAGTTTTTTAACACTCAAAGTCATTTTATTCAGGAATATATCATTTGAATCAAAAGATTGTCAGCATTTCCCCAAATTTCATATTTCTCTTTTAAAAAAAAGCTAGGACTACGTATTTTTATTTTTCCTTTACGTACACATATACAATTGAGTGTAAGGGAAGTTATTTGTAAAAATCTAATATTCAAATATCTAAAGAATTAGAGAAAAATATAAAACTTACTTAAGGAAAATGTTCCCTGATATAGAAATAAGCTGTGTTAAATGATATCGTTCTTAACTAATTTAGTTCAAAATACAAAAGGATATTTGATTTCTCATTATTTAAGTGATATCTTAATGGAAATATAAACCTTTTTTTTTCAATTCAAACGATATACAGTGAATAATATGTTATGTCAACGGGAAAAACACGACGGGTAGTAAAGTTAGCCACTATTAACTCATTACAGCGCCTCAGAATCACTCCGTTTTGTAAGTGGCGTTCAACTGCTCTGATTTGAGATTTCTGTATCTGTATGGTATAATGATTTTCCTTGACAGATGATTTGTATTTCCTTCTAAGTACATCCATTTTCTCCATTTGTTTACGTATCATTGTATGATAACGATATTTCACGATTATAAATTTTCCTTACCGTAAATGATAGGTCTTTAACTTAAGATCATTGTGGGGCATTAAGTGCATTATACCGCACATATCATTTTTGTATTTTTTATATGAATGAGAAACTACACAACGTAAAAGGGCAACGTTTTTCTTACACAATTCTTCCGGCATATTCAAATTTGATACGTTAAATCAGAAATAACCTTGTGCAGCGTATAATGATGATGAGCAAAAATGCCAAACGTGTCCTACAATATATATATACAAATATTGTTTACAAGTTATCATTTTGTAAAAATTAAAAATATAATGCAAACTTTGTCTACATGGACCATTGTATAGAAGTGCAATAGATTAACAATTTTTCCCAACGCAGAAACGGATTAATATTACAATTTAACAATTGATTTGAATAATTTGACTTAAATTATAAAAAAAATATTGAAGAAACAAGCGAGAATATGCAATATTGATTTACTAGTGACAAAAGTTTACTCTGTTCGACGAACAATTGACAGACTATTTATGATTTTTTAATAACTGTAGATCTTCCTTCTGAGTTATATCCTTCAAGCTCTTTCTCGTATAGGATAATTCTGACAGGCACAGCATGCACCACAGTATTTTGTTCATTAAAAATATTTATTAAATGTAAGTCAAATAAACACCTTCTTTAAAAAAAATGCTAGCCAGTGATACATTTAAAGACAATAATATAGTATATATTAAAATTGTCCCCCTAACGATTTGTTTTTTCGAATTCATGTCACATTTCTATATGTACCGAATTAGAATACATGTATATTGGAAGCATACTGATCATAAACAATTTCCAAATTTAAATCAACAAAACGTCCTCTTGAAATTGACAGATATCAAATGCTGGTAATAATTCCTCTTGACTGATATTTATTGCAGCCAATCAGTTATTTTGCCAACGGAAGTAAATTGCTGCAAATTCTAATTCTAGCGTAAAATTATTGATTCCAAAACTGAGTTTCTGGAAAGGGCTATACAGGAAATATATGTATGCTGATAGACAAAATGTTTTTTACATATTTATGAGCCTATACATTTTGATAGACAAAAATACGCAAAGAAAAAGTCTTAAATCATATTTCCAATGTTTTAAAATGTATAGCAAATGAACTAGCTGCATCATGATTCAGTGGTATGCACATATTACATTCATTCAACAATTGCTCAGTTTAGCAGAGTGTCTTAAGATTTCTTTTTACATAGTATGCTTGATGTTTAACCAAAAGTGTATTTCCAAGAGCATTTAAGTAGTAGTGTTACAAAAGATTTGAACTAAAATGTTCTTGATATTAACCTGAACAGGTAAATTAAATTTAAATGTCACACAATACACTGCAGTCTTGATGAACACAAATTTTAAACACAGATTGTGTGGATCAATAATCTGTGTGAATATTTGATTTTCTTTACAAATGACATTTACTTTTCGATTTTGAGACACAGGATTGTGTAGAGTAATGGAAATGAAAGGTAAACATTTGTGTCTATTTGTATTATCTATTATTCTTTTGACCAGTGATCAACTTATTCAATTTAAGTAAATTTGTAGTTCCGATTTAATACTTAAGATAAATAGTCAACAACGAAGCGCGAAATGGAATTTAGTAATGCTCAATCATTTCATATTTCGTTTTTTTAATTATTAATACTTATTGCCCTATCAACTTTTGTTTGTCTTATGGTAAATTTGCTATATATATATATATATATATATATAAAGAGAAACGAAAGTACCGAATGGGAATAACCCATTTCCGATAACATACGTGTATGAAGTAAAGAGAAACGAAACGTTAGAAAATTTTTCAGCTATTAATAAGGTGGTTGAAAAGAAGTATTATTTGGTTTCAACTTATGACAAGATGATTCGGCACGTGATTCCCAAAACCAATGGAACGGCATGTAGATATACACAGTGCAATGTGCAGATAAAAATGCACGATCATGCAAGAACTTAGAATCACTGCAAGTTAACCCGTTTAATACTTTCTAAACCGGGGGACAAGACAATTACAATCCTGTCTTAATACATCTGTAAATTTCCTTCTTTACAAATAGCTTTGAATTCCAAAAGTTAATCAAAGATAGCAGGCTGATGTTTGATACGTCATACGAGCGATTTGTCTACATCAGTGGTGCTCGAATCAAAAACGTTAAAGACCAAATAATTAAGAAAAAGAAGAACATAAATGACAGACAGCAATAGACGACAACCACTAGACTTGACTACAATATCCTGTCTTGGAAAAAGGTACAAAACAATTTTTTGGGATGTGATGTGACATACGTCTACCGTTTACAAATCAGAACAAAATGCAAAAGTCAGGGTTTACTCGTCAGAAATGTGTACTTAGCACAAATACAACTAATAAAATGTCAACAGACAAAAAATTAATACCTATCATAGAGTTCTCTCAGTAAATAAAAACAAGTCCGAAGCAAACTTGCATCCTCGAAATAAACACTGTTTTCTCAAACTAAAATCAATCATAGTAACTCGTAGAGATTTAGTTTTAAAGAATAAACATGATAAACAATGTTGATAAAGTGCCTAGAAAATCAACTTAACAATGTGAGAGTACATTTGATTCTTTACTTCGTGAGACTCGAATCTGCACTTCTCTCTTCTCACTTCGACGACAAAACCACCTAGCATTGCGCATACGTCTTATCCCATCCTCTTACTATAGCCGAAATAAATCAGCTTTCGTGTTGGGGAGTGATACCTTCCCGTAGGTATTTAAAAGGGTCCTCTCATGACAATACACGAATATTTTTGTGTGAATTGTGATAAGAGGGCCCTTTTAAATCAAATTTTGGTCAGTTTAATTACAGGATGCAATTTTGTTAGAAGCATACAATCACTATGAATTTACAATCAGATATGTGTGGCTATGTGTAGTGAAAACTGTATATTATACATTTATATATAAATAGAACGGCTAAAATTATAACAGAATATTTGTATTTTTGAAAGAAATAAAAAAAAAAGGTAAAGTTAAGTGTGTTGTAACGATATCCCCGGCTTCAAAATTGTCCAGTGACACATTATCAGTTACACGTTGTATTAAGCATGCTTTCTTCGTTTGAACTGAACACGTATGCCTAACAACAAAATTATTTTCATTTACCTGTGTTTAAAGTAATTGAAAATGGCTGATATTTTTGTTCAAGCATATTGTTTTTTCTTAAATTGTTTAACATTTCACAGCGGTATAACATGTTACTTTAATGAATTATTCTTCCTTTAGTTTTATTATTTTGTATTTACATTGTATCATAGCTTAAATTTATTTGTTCAGTGTATGTTTACTGGTGTTAATATGTCTTTTGATTGAGTTAAGCCATTTCAATTGATATTTTATAGTGTGTCTTTCTATGTTGTGATGTTACACTATTGTTTCAGATAAGGGTGAAGGTTTGGTACCATTAAAACGTTTAAACCCGCTGCAATTGTTTGCACCTGTCCTAAGTCAGGAATCTGATGTTCAGTAGTTGTCGTTTGTTGATGTGGTTCATAAGTGTTTCTCGTTTCTCGTTTTTTATATAGATTGGACCGTTGGTTTTCCCGTTGAATGGTTTGACACTAGTATTTTTTGGGGCCCTTTATAGCTTGCTGTTCGGTGTGAGCCAAGGCTCTGTGTTGAAGACCGTACTTTACCTATAATGGTTTACTTTTATAAATTTTGACTTGGATGGAGAGTTGTCTCATTGGCACTCATACCACATCTTCTTATATCTATACACATTTTTTCCTGACCATTTTTGTTTTTTGTTTTTACAAAAAAAATACCTCATAATATTTTTCATTTGCATGCAGACAGGACATATGTTTTCGGGTGAAATTAAACATGATATATTTGTCACCTTGATATGCCTTTTTAATTACATTAATGATGTTCATACTTTATTGTTTCAGATGTGTCAATATCTCTTTACCAATATCTATGCAAAATCATAGTCGGATCTGAAAATCACATTAAAACATTAAGATTAATGAATACAGTTTCTGATAATTTATCGAGTGACAACATAAAAGTGAGCATTATCAGCGGGAGTTTTGGTGAAGGACTGCAGATGATTGGTAGTGATTTAGATATTATGTTTGTAATAAAACCCATCGAGGTTCACGATAACATAACATCTATTGTTTTCAATTCTAAAACAACGTATTTTTCACTGATGACAGAAGATACAAAACCAGGTTATGTTATGTTACGTCTTACCAGCAGTCCTCATGCCTACGTGCGTAAAAGTTGTGAACAATTCAGATCGAAAAGTTATCTGTCAAATATCTTATTCAAGAATTTTTTTTTAGGCGAGCTTACTCCGGTTGTACATGGACCTTGTGTATCCGACAGAAAAGGTTATTTTGACTATGCTCTTTGCCTTCATAGTAAATATTGGGTCACGTCTGCGTCACAATGGACTATAAGGTCAAATAATTCATGGCCAAATGAAAAAACAAAGCAGCTGATCATCAATCATGGGGTGCTTTTTGTACCAATTGGTTCTAAAGGGTCACCACACGAGGAGTTGGAATGGCGAATGTCATTCTCAGTTGGAGAAAAACTTCTTATTTATACGTTTAGTCATACACAATTACTTTGTTATGCGCTCATGAAAATTATTTTAAAGGATGTAATAAATACTGATAGTAAATGTAAAGATTTATTGTGTTCTTATATCCTGAAGACAACGATCTTTTGGCTATCAGAAGAATCACAGCCCTCTCTATGGAAACCAGACAATTTGATACATTGTTTCATGAGATGTTTCCGTCGGCTGATTTATTGTGTGGAGTATCAAGTTTGTCCGCATTATTTCATTCCAGAAAATAATTTGTTTGAAAATAAGATAGAAGGACACGATTGGAATAATCTGATTGTTACACTCCGTGTTTTATTGAGCTATGGATGGCAATGCATTTTCTTTTCTAGACAAATATCACATATTTCGGTTTTGTCGTGCAACATTCAAAATGATCCCAGTTACTTGTATTATGAAGATATTAACAAACTGTTAAAGTCAAACATATTTGTACGTGTTTATTCTGTGAGAGGTGCACACAATTACTTCAGAAAAGCTGTACATTACAGTATGGCTTATAACACCAAGAAATTGAAATACCTTCATGCATATTTCGTGTCATCGGTGTGCTACAATACATGTGAGTCCATATACCTGACCAGTGCAATAAGTAATAAGAACCTATATAAACAAAACAACACTTGTCTGAGTTATCTACTAATGAACATCAACCATAATACTGTATCTGGGTGGTTGATGCTTGCCTCGTTTTTCTACAAGGCAAACCAATATAGGAAGTCTCTCAACATTATTTTGTATGCTCTATCAAAGTGTACACCTGAAAAACTATTTCTCGGAGCAGAATTGTCTGTCATGCAACGACGTCTAGTCAAATGGCATGCAGTTCGAAAGCAAGGAGTAGTTCGTTCTTTAAGATTTGTACTGGTAGATTATGTCATTTTTAAAACTTCAACATTTATTCCTGTAGAACTGCTCATTGAAGGAATAGATGTTATAATACCTCCTGTAGTTTACGCACATGTTTTGTCTTTCCTGTGTTATTACCACCTGGAAGATGTGCGAGAATGTCGAAATTCCCTCCGAAAACTTCAACTGACAATAGCCGAAAACTATTTTGTTGGAGAGGAGAAGAGTCCTGAATTATTATCTCACTACTGTCTTGGTACTGCTTTGCAATTAATGGGGGACACCGTATCAGCCAAACAAATATTCGTCGAAATTGTGAAATTATATCCATTTCCATACATTCTTAAGCAATTGAAAAGACTTTCTCTGGTACTTTTAGTGTAAAAATACATTTGTGTTAAAGAATAAGATAAATCTAGATTCATTCGGTTAATGGGAAATAACATTAACGGTGCCAACTTCACTGGTTATTTATTAACTTGTAATTTACAATTAATTTTTTTATTAAATCGTATTGTTTGATAAAAGTTTCCATATACTAATAAAATTTCACTTTTAAAGAAAAACTTGATTTATGTTAAAAAATATCTGAAAACTCACGGACAAAAATAACCTTATCAATAGTAACATTTTTAACGGATACCAAACGTGTATATCGTCCAACTTCAGAAAAAGACTTATATGGTAAGAAAATCTAGTTCTGGAATGAACAGCATATGCCCATTATATTGTTACGGAACAAACAGAAATGAACAAATATAGCGTCAACATGGTCAACATACAAAAGTTTAATCAATATTATATTTTTGATTTTATGCGTTCTTCAATAATTTGTATATACGATGAGTCTCATAGTATCATATTCCTAAATCATACAGTTTGAAATACCAAAACACTTCATGAAGTAATGTTGAGTTTAAATTAGTAAGCATTATTAGTCGAACGAAATAATGTACTCAATTATGTAATATATTCTAAAGAATGTTCTTAACTCTACATCTTGAAGGTTCCAAAATTTATTATATATCTATGATGTGTTTAATGTTCTCTCTATATCATTTCATACTATAAATCATAAAAACAGATAGGAAGGCCTCTTCTATACTTAACATTAGCGACACGACCGGTCCAACTTTAGAGTTGTTATCCTACAATCGACCATTTTACTTTTCAAATGCAGGGTGGAGTCTTGGTATTTTTTCGCCTTTGTCTTTGGGTAGCACTTTGGTATGCTAATAAGTGAATCCGAATTATTAAGGATGCGTCACTCATTTCTCAGACAGTTGTGCGCAATAGAAATTTGTATTCTCTATTAAACTGCTCTTTAGAAATAACGTTTAGATTGCACTATTTAGCAACCTTATTCCACTTTTAGTCTTTTTTTTGTATATGTAAACGTAAATGAATTGTTGTGTGAGCAGTTCCATAGATCGAAATATTTGAATGCAATAGCCAATGTGATGAACATTTTGTGTATATTAGCCAACGAAGATTTTTGTTTATTGTTTTTAATATTTGGTTTAAAATCATTTTAAACTTCGAAGTTGATTTTGGAATAGAACTGTTTACAATAAAATGAAACGACAGAATTGAAATTTCGCTACAAAGCACAAACATGAAAAAAGAAACAAAGTACTGATATATGAGAACTCGCAAGTTACTAAAAGCTGCATCTTAGCAAAACGTCGAGTAGATAAATCATGTTTTAACGTGTATAAAAGGTGATACCTAACATTTTGTTTTTCCAAATGAATTGTCAACACATTATGTAATTCCTTTATCAAGCAATGCATGTGTTATTTGATAACAAGTACACAATAATGTTGGGTTCTCTAACCGTGACAATAACTTATTTTCATAGAAGCAGGACAGGTGTTGTTAACATTTTCATCAGATAATATACCAATTTATACTTTTAATTTAATTGTTTTAGACATCTACGCATCTGCAATAGTTAAGAGTTTCAATGCCAATTTTTCAGGTTTTGAAAATTGTCTAGCATTATCCACAAAAGAGTCTGTTATAAAATAAAATTTCAAGTGTATGCCGTTTGATTATTAGTCTTGCACGGTTCGAAAAGAATTGTGTTTTTTTTTCACGACTTTGACAGTGCGGTTATTCATGAATAAAAACAAAATGTATTGGCACAGGATTCATAAACTGTAGTCTTTCATATTGACTTTTTGTATAGAACTATTGTTGTTGAGTGTGTTAAAGTAATCACACCAATGTGTCAATATACATGATACACAATGTTTTCATTTATTCATATAAAATTGATGTTTAATCGTTTATTTTTATTTATTTATTTTGTACTGTATAAATAACACGGCAAAGTGTGATGGGCTAATTTTTTTTTTGTCATTTCAAAGGAAACATTAGAAGATGCGGAAACATTGCTAATAATACAACATTTCTACAAAAGACCAAATGATGTAGAAGTTGACAACTGTAGGTCACCGTACGGCTTTGAACTACGAGAATAATTGTAACTGCATAGCAAGCTATAAAAGAACACGACATGACACATTCAAAACAATTCAAATGAGAAAACTGATGGTCTGATTTAAGTAAAAACAATTTAGGAAAAACAAATATGAAATACAGAAACAAACGACAACCACTGAACTAATGTTTTTCTGACAGTTGATAGATACTTACAGAATGCTGCAATGTCAAATGTTAGAATCTGTTTAGCAATAATATTTTTAAATAAATGATGACAAAATTAATTTTATTCCGATAAAAATATTATTCACAGCCTTTTATGTCTTCTTAGTCAATTTGTGGGGTTTGATCAGAAGCTTTCTTTAGATTTGATATAACAAAACACGAAAAGATTGGCAATCATTTTAATCAAACAGAAAGCACACTGCTTACTAAATACATAATATAAAATAACAACACACACTTGACAAGTCAAAATTAAGTTTCTCATAGATCAAAAGATAAGACCAACTATGGTTAGCATGTTTTTTCTCGATTCATTTCAATGTCCTTTTTAAAATATGTGTGAAATGTAAAGCTTGAGAGGGTACTCCTGTTGATGCTAGCAGTTTTGTTCATGTCGTAGTCTATGGTATTCCCTCACTTTTTATTCGTTACTTTGGATTGTATTCATAATAGTTCACTGGTTCTTAGCATCGGTAAACCAATGTTGCCTTAATTATCTGTGAGGCAAGTATGCATAACTCAAATTACGCAGTAATAATCATAGAACACAATCTGGTATATGACGTGTTACGTAACAGTTGTTATCAGTTAGAATAAATAAGTCAAAATATCACGGCTTGTTTTAACCCCGATCTCTCTTTTAATGATTACGGAACAATAAGTACAAATATGATCGTATTTATGTTAAACAATGATGTCTAATAAAACAATCAATACCGTTTGCAAGTTCCTAAAATTGTGTGTTTGTAATATATTATCATTGTCCATATAGGTCTCAATTTCTCTTTGTATCATAGGTCAAATCAATTCAGGTTTTATAATTAATTATATAGTTCAAGACCGGAAGCAAATGTTAATGCTCTGTTAGTATGTCTTTAGTTATACCAGTATGGAACTATGAACAATTGTATGTTAATTAATATTGTATGTCCATGAAATAACAAAAAGTATAAGCAGCGGCATATAACATTGATTTTCCTTGGCTTATACATTGAAAAAAGCAACAAAAATTTCAATTCCAAACAACATAAACAATATTTATGTAATTGAAAGTTCATTCTATAATAACAAGTTTTCATTAAAGATTTGTCTCCACATGTTTGTCTACATTGATCTTCTGGCGTGTCCAGATTTAGTCCTTGTAATACTGACATGAATTTAATCATATTTGTCTATAACAATTCTTAACCAATTTGATGTTGACTACTAATAGTTATTGAGGCGAACAGTTCTTTAAATCCTCTAATTTGTACAAATGTTGTAGAACCCTAAATATATTATTTACAAAAACAATGATTATCGAATTGTAGTTATGTCTTCTTAATGTTCAAGAAAGTAAGTCACTAAAGTAACATTTATACCGAACATTATCTTATCGGACTTGTTAAAAATAAACAATTCGAACCTAACTAAGGTTTATTCACAGCTATTTCAATGAAAAAGATTATTATTTTCTTTTGATTAGATGCTAGTTAAGAAAATGTATTGAAAATTCAAAACTGACGACGCAGTAAATATTCCTCTTGAATATAATTAGGATTAATAATTAAATGGAAGAGAATTTATTTTAAAGGTTTAATGTTTATTTTTTTAAATTAAAAATAAAAAACATTTATAACAAATCTAAATAAAATGCTTGATATAATTTCTCATAATTTCATATTCCTTTTTGGCAATAATAAGGACGAATACATAATGTTTTCCTCTTCTATGTATTTTTAAACAATAATTGCAGGTAAGGGTTTTTATTAATATCCAATGTTCAAATATAAAAGATGAAAATAAAGTACAACTTCTCTGACAAAAAACAAGATCCCGGACATAGCAATCGTTTTTTTTTTCTTCTTTTTTTTTCTTCTAAATATTGTCTTTGTAAACTAAATCCACAAAAGTTACATACACGTTAATGTTTCTGTTAATTAAATTAATTTCCATAAGGAAGTATAAACCCTTTTAATACATTCGAGCGGGTATAAATAGAATAATATCACGAGTGTATTGTCAAATTAGAAGTCAACGGCCAGAAAGGCAATTTAAATGAAAGGTATAATTGTGAATTAAATATCCTTTTTCGAACTTTCCGAGACCTTACATTGATTTCAACTTGTTGGCTTAAACATGTTAAAGTAATTCTTTAGACTCTGAATTATGCACAATAAGTACATGTATTGTTAACGACCTAATTACAATGTTGTCGAAATAAAATAGAAGGTACGATTAAGCCTGTTCGTAAAGTTAACTTCAATATTTAATTGGTAAATGATAGTACTAATAAATGTACTAGTTCCATACTGAAAATTCAAAATTTTCTATTTTTTTTTTATTCCCAAAAGTGCCACATTATAGGTATTGGAATTAATAAAAAAAGACAGCATATCACATTTTGATAGCATTATTTGTATTCAGCAATTTTAGAATTGTAATAACTAATTTCGCGCATTGTTTTTTTTTTTTAACAATCACCATTATAAAAGCACGTAAAATTTTGGAATTTACAGTTATATGTTTTTGAACTGGAATCGTATAATAAAACAAAACAGCGTGTTGTTTGCTATGGAAAATGTGATTGCTTGTAGCATTAAATGTATGCGTTGTTAAGATATTTAGTAATCTTCCCAAGCACATACAGGAAGACCCTTAATACACAAAAAGAAATACAGTACCTATGTGGAGCTCTTCCCTCAAATTTTGATAATACCAATTAAAGTGACAATAAATTAGAATAAAGACGTACGGTTAAATAACAACAGTTCATCTATTTATCGAGATTCATAGAAAATATATG